CCCGGTTACCTCAGTGGGTAGAGCTGGCGACCCATGTACCGAGGCTGAGTCCTTGCTGCAGCGGCCCAGGGTTCGAATCCGACCTGCGGCCCTTTCCTGCGTGTCATCCCCTCTCTCTGCCCCACTTTCCTGTCTTTCTTCAGCTGTCACTATAATAAAGGCAATAAAAGCCCCAAAAAATATACTAAAAAAAATAGTCAACAAGAGCAATTTCCAAGAAATAATTTTAATGATTCAAGCTTTTGTGTTAAAATTCTGTCAATGAACAGGTATGATAATTCTGCTTGTTTCCAATGCCAGTATGTATAGGGCAGCTCTTATCATAGGGAAAATACTAGTAATGACAGGTTCTTTAAACAAGTTAATTTGCTTTGGAAGCAAATGAAATTATCTAGACCCAAAGACTAGATTAAATGTTTTGTTAAAATGTACATACAAGTCCGTGCTGAGACACTTTCCCTCTCTCTTTCTGTCTGTGTGTGTGTGCTCCTGTTTGTGAATGCATGCATGCAGGGAACAGCAACAATCTGTTCAGCATCGACAGACAGACCGGGCTGGTGACAAGAGGCCTCAGGGCTCTGGACAGAGAAACCGGAAGCTCCCATGTGTTGGAAGTGGAAGCCTACAACAGTGACGAGGGCAGCATGAGGAGCTCCGTGAGGGTGAGAAAGAGGAGGGTAGCTGTAGGGGGATGGGGAAGATGCTGTAACATATGCAAGATTCATCCCAGTAATTCATGCTTAATGTGCAGCTTGCTGTATGTAGAATTAGTTTGTTCTTTATATTATAGAGCATGAGGATTTATACCTTTAAGGAACAACAGGCTATCTTTTAAAAATGGACAGTCGAAAAATGTGGACTTCATGGAGGATCCAGTCAGGATATGTAATATTTATGTCTTTGGTCTCATTGCCTAAAAGATAAAATGACAAAGACCTTTTCCCAAAGATTGTTTTCCTTAAAGTTGATATGTGTAGTTGATGCACACGTCTTCCCCTGCAGGTGATCATATATGTGGACGATGCCAATGACGAGGTGCCAGTGTTTACTCAGCAACAATACAACCGTCTGGGCCTTCGGGAGACCGCTGGCATTGGCACCTCTGTAATCGTGGTGCGTGCCACAGATCCTGACACTGGTGAGTCCAGTTGTTAGAGTCAGTTCTTGTTGTCGACCCTTCAGTATCAGGTTTTATTCAACCTTGTTCAAAACAGAAAGAGACATTCAGCTGACTGTGGCTTTAAGCTTTCCACTTCTGCTCTGCTGGCACAAGTCGATTGTTTGCAGGTCACCAACATTTACACTAGTGGGTGCCACTCCAATGTAGAATATAAAATCACTTAACCTATTTTTTTTTTTTACCTTGTTATGTTACAAGTGTTCACTGTAATGGGCATTTAAATCTGCACTTCTGCTCCACAGTACAGACTTCCTCTATTCACTTCCCATGATGTTAAGTCTTTCTTAGGGAACCATATGACGCATCTGGTGCTGTGACATGCATTTTCCAAAACATTAGATCTGAAACTGAAATAAACACAACAGGACTTCTGTTTGCATGTTGTAACTATAGTTTCAATGTATGTTAAAAGGTTTTATTTATTGTAAGCTTTCCCTAACAATCACCCCCCTTCTCCCTGCTCAGGTGATGGTGGAGCCGTCGCTTACGCCCTTGTGTCCGGCTCAGACCGCAAGTTTGAGGTGGATGTGAGCACTGGCTTGGTAACCACTGTGGACTACCTGGACTATGAGACCAAGACCACCTATTTGATGAATGTCTCGGCCACCGACCAGGCTACACCTTTTCACCGAGGCTTCTGCACCGTCTATGTCACTTTACTTAATGAGCTGGATGAGGCCGTGGCCTTCTTCTCTGCCGGTTATGAGGCTTCGCTGCGTGAGAACATCGCCACGGGGACAGAGGTGGTCCAGGTGCAGGCCAAGTCGGCCGACAACTTGAACCAGTTGACTTACCGTTTCGACCCTGACACGTCACCTGCAGCTCTGGCCCTCTTCAAGATAGACAGCGTCACGGTGAGTTGTGGAGGAAAGGTCACTGATGATGTGAGCACAATGTACATGCATCTTCTTTGTACACTTCAAAGACTACACCCACCTTCTGTCAAATATGTTTTATCCATTAACCACAGTGTGATTCAATAACACCTCTTCCTCTGTGATTTAAGATAGCACTCTTGTTGCTGCATGACTGTAAGCTGATCAAAGAGCTTGTTTGCTTTGAAGTCATTTGATTCCTTTGATAGATGAGAAATGGAGATTTTTTGTTGTTGATTTTTATGACACGTCAGTCTTTCTCTAGTTCTATCCGTGCTCCTCATCGGTCACACTGGGACAATTTCTATCTTGTATGGAATCTCTGTGGAGGTGGAGATGTATGCTGATATGTGTGGTCTTTCAGGGCCGTATCACAGTGACAGGCCTGCTGGACAGAGAGAGGGGAGATATGTACACCTTGACTGTTGTAGCTGATGATGGAGGACCTAAAAAGGACTCCACTGTGGTATGCTTCATTCTGAATTGTGTTCATTTATCTTTCTTTACCTGTACAACATTCTATATAACACAGTGTGTGTCATGTCTATTCTGTTATAGAAAACTTAATGGCATTCCTCTTTTATTCATTGCATCTCTCATTGGAAGTGCAGAAGGTAAGACTTGCTGTTCTTTTTGAAGGCAAAATGAAAATGTATTCATCTGCGGTATCTTAGTATTGTTATGTTCTGGTTATTGGCTTCATCTCAAAGGTAAGTATTGCATCAGTCTGGCAAGTTATGGATTGCCGGATTACATTTGATCATATGTCTTGACAGGTTTCAATCACTATTCTGGATGAGAATGACAACAGCCCAGAGTTTGACATCACATCTGATACTTCAGTGGCCGTCGCAGAAAACACAGCCATGGGGAAAAAAGTGGCAGTAGTGCTGGGAAGGGACAAAGATGCTGGATTAAATGGACTGGTGAGAATAAAGAAGAAAGATGGAAAAACACGTTCTCACTCTGAGAGATTAAAAAAAATCTCCAAAGTTTGAAGATCGTACATGTGGTACTTAAACATTACCGATCAATGTCACCTATTAGTTACCAGGCGTCAAAGCACTGAATATGACATTTACAAGTTATGTTTGACTCATTTTGGTTTATGTTCCTTTTTTATATGATATGAGTATTTTACTTCAGCAGATTACAGTACTGTAGGTCAAATGAAGCTTGCCTCAGTTTTACGTCTACTGATAGTGGTTCACTAAAGTTGCAAGCAATGCATTTTTCTCCTGACTACTATTCACACCATAGACTGCTACTCATTGTTGTTAACAGCGTTAGTTGTTTTTTGTTATTCTGCTCGTGCTAGTTTTTCTCTCCACTAGCCCAGCCCACTCCTGTCTCTCAGTTATGATTTCTTAAACTTTCTTTTTTAATGAAGAATTCAGTGGAATTTCTTGTCTGTTTGCTCTTGGTTCTGTTACGCCGTGGGGGTCTTATCTATGCTCCCTACTGATTCTTTGGCATGTGCTGTGATTTATTTAAGATTTAGAACCTGCACAGCCAAACACAACCTTTCAACTATTTATACATTATGGTCGACTTTATGATTCTAAGTGAAACAAAGCTGTTGTTATAGTGTAATATTTCCGTTCTTTCACTCTCTGTCTATCCCTTCACCTTTCTCCTTGTCTTATTCTGACTCATTACTCTCTCTCAGGTCAATTTCACTCTGGTGGCAGGCAACATGGAGGATGTTTTCAAGATCAAGACAGTGAATCACACCTATGGGGAGGTTTATGTCAATGCTCCCCTGGACAGAGAATCGGTAGACCGCTACCTACTGAAGGTCAGGCAGCAAACTGCATGTAGTTATGACATCTTTCACCACATTACAGGATCTATATGACTCATTATACATTTATGTCACAACCCTGACTCGATATCTTACCTCACCGCAAAATAATCTGATTGCGTGTTGTGTGTTATACCATAGTCACGTGATTCCCATTATTTAGGTTTTGAATGATCCAATCATATCAAAATATTATTCATGTAAATATTAATGCATACTGCATCTTATCTATTATCTACCTATGTGATTGTATGCCTTTTGTCCAAATGTATGGTTAGACTTGTACACACCGGTGCACGTGTATGTTGTTACAGGTGCGTGCCATCGATAATGGTTCACCTCCCAGACACACAGACCACTCTCTCACCATCAACATCCTGGACATCAATGACAATGCACCTGTTATTGAAAGCCAGAGGGGCTACAATGTCAGCATAAGTGAGGTAGGGATGTATTCGCACATCACATTGAGCATGATTTTCATCTTATCCTTACGTCCTTAAGATTTAAACAAATATTCGGTCACAGGTTTGTGTTTATTCTACCATGAGCAATCAATAATGATGCTTCTTTTATAATGTAAATTGCAGAATGTTGGAGGTGGTACTTCAGTCCTCCGTGTGATGGCTACCGACCGAGACATTGGTCCCAACGCCATGCTGTTTTACTACATCACTGCTGGAAACCAGGACCTGACATTCCGCATGGACCGCGTGACTGGAGAGATGGTGACACGGCCAGCCCCTCCTGACAGAGAGCGCCAGCAAGAGTACCGACTCATTGTCACTGTGGAGGACGATGGTGCGCCACCTCTTTCGGTAAGATAGGATAGGAACAGCAGCTGTAGAACATTATCTCAGCTATTTCTATCTCAACATACTACTTCATGCAGTATAACCACCCCTAGAGTGACCTCTAGGGGTGTAAATGTAATCTGATATGTTCATGGTGATTTGAATTTTTCGGATTCAGCATCTCATCTTGTTACAAAGCCCTCTTTTGATCATTGTACTATAAACAATCGTACCTGCAAGTTGTACTTTTTGTGGGGACTATGTCTACCTCCCTTAAGCCAAGATCCAGTACAAGTTAGGTATGACACATAACAAGACCTTCTGTCTTCACATAGCCCACACAGTATATTAAGTAGTCTTTGGTTGATGTTCTGTATGAGTATCAGCTGTGAATGCACAGGAAACACCTTCGTAAACAGGAAAGCCACAAGTCAAATTTCCAAAAAGAGGAACAAGACTGTTTAGCAATATCTGTAGCATCAAAAGCATATTAAAATGTGTTTGTGCACTCACAACATGAGATAGTATGTATTGTATGTGTCACATGTACATGCATTGCTTGACAGTTGCTGTTGAACTCAATGTGGCCTGAATTTTTTTTTTTTACTTTGTTCCTCTGGGTCACACAGTAAGATGTAGGTAGTACAAACTTATATAAATGCAGCTCCTGCTAATGCAACATATAAACAGCTAATGTAAGAGTGCAGAAAAGGCACTGGGGAGAGGAAATGGCTAGCAACAGGCTTCCTCTCCTATCTAGCTCTCCATCTCTTCTCATAAAACATTTGAAACAAGATACTAAGATTGTTTTATAATTTTTTCTCCTCAATCCCTCTGGTGTGCACCATCTTAGAGGCGCACATGTGGAACAACCTTGTTCCGTCTGTAATGGCTCCCTAGGCAGCAAGTGCAGCACGTCCTTCTGTAGTGATAGTTTTGGATACCTGCCAGTTTAAAGGAACAATGATTTCAAAGACAAGACACATTGGCTTTAAGGTTTAAGAGCACCATTTTATTATACAAGCTAGAACGAGGGACAAGTTAAATGCAATACGCAGAACAAACTGTGTCTATGTCTAATACAAGCTTTTTACAGTCTAAAACACAAAACATACATACAGATGCAGATCCAAATGCGCACACACACACACTTACACCAGAACACAAAATTTGTGAACACACACACACACAGGCGCATTTGAAAAGAATCTCGGTTTGATCTTGGTACTTATAAAAGTATTCAAATCTTAACATACATACACAATACCCTGTCCTAGAGAGCTGCTACACATCGCTTGGAGTTGATTTCTGCTGCTGTACACGTTTTACCTCAATATGAAAAAACAAGAGTGGTTTCCCACAATTGCTAACAATATCATTGCAATCACTTCCCATTTTCTGTCACTCTATTTACTTATTAACATCCCATTGCATGCACAAAAAAAACTAATGAACATTAATGTATACATCTCAAAAATTAAATCAAGGTACTGTACATGAAAACAAAAGAAATCTGAAAAGGATTCACAAAAACAGTGTTGAGATGGCAGTGGTTAAACTGTTTTATGAAGGTGTTTTTTTAATTACAACAATCTATTAGGCTACATTCAGGAGAAAATCAATAAAGATTTTATTCTTCAATATGTAACTGTACATGAAAAACATCCTAACTATCATCAAAAAACTTACTGCACTTTTCAGCAGTTTGTGAATATATTTAAGGCCACTGCAAAATGCTGCGTTTCTGACAATACAGGAAGGAAGGAGAGTATTTAGAGCCACAGAGCTGACAGTAAATGAGGTACCAAAGAGGGAAGAGAAAAGAAGCAGAGGTCAAGTGGAAATGATTCAGAGGAACAGTGTAATAATGCTATAAAAACAAATGACTTGTACAAGAATATTGGGACTTCTCTAATGATTGAGCCTCATTTGGTATGAAGCTACTCAAGCACTTTACTACAATGAAAGGGATGAGAGAGAGCCTTAGGTCACTTTCACACCTGTGGTTTGGTTAAAAAGAGAAAAAGATACATGTACACTTGTGTTTTAATTACACTCCATTTTGTGTCCACATGGACTGAAAGATAACCCTTTCACTGGACATTGTTTGAATTACAGACTGCACACCAGCCTAAATGAACCAAACCATACCAGTAAATGCACCATAGTTGGTAGGTGTGAAAGCCATAGAAACGTGGCACGCCTGCACATTGCGGAACCCCCACCCTTAACACTATGGGCTCTTCTCAAGCAACGGGCATCTGTTGGTCCACAAGCTATTGTCAGCGTTTTGATGGAATGTCGCACACAAACCTACCCCCCTCTCACAACACAAGTGCTCACAACCAAAACTTTGCTTTTGGCCTCCAGCTGTTGTTGCAGGTGGAAATTGTTTAAAAAAAAAAAAAACACAGTCCGTTCCCTCCTGCGGTCCAGACAATGTACAGACGACAATCTCAGCAGAGGTTATTGTGAGACAGCTGATATGGGCATCATCACTCTGGAGGCAGAGAGAAGAGGAAGAGAGTTGCAGGGCTGTCTCCAGATCAGCAGTTAGAACGATGAATGAGGTTTCAACCCCCTTTAAACCTGCATGAAGTCTGGAGACTCAGGGATGGTGTCTGGAAAAGAGAACAGTGCAGGTCAGTGAGAGCATAGAAATGATAGCAGGTAATCCACCTGTATCAACCTGCACAATTTTCACATTTTATATCTGTGTGCTGATATGTGGAAATTTAGATATGAGAGGGTTTGTACGTTTCAATGTGTACATCATGCGCAAAATTCAGATCAGAATTTATTTTTCACAACCACAAGTTGTACACTGATAGATTTCTTAGAATAAGATATGATTCACTGGAAACCCATTAAAAAAGGGAACAAAGAGGCCTCGAGTCTGGGTTGCGCCATGTTGAAGATAAGAGGGAACTGCTGTTAGTTAAATTCCACTCAGCTGAAGGTCAGCAGGCCAAAAAAGATGAAGAGGAAAGCTGAAGTGTAGCTTTTATCCATGTAACACTAAACCTCAAACCAGGCATATTGTTTGTAGATGACAGAAGGAAATGAGCTCTGGAGGGGAAAATCCACCTTGAGAAAGGTGTACGATATGGTTTGGGTTTTTCTAGGATTTTAGATTTATTAATATTTGTGTCTTTCTCTAAAGAAAAAAACCTAGCTGTAATCTGAGACACAATCAAGAAGCAGAGGTTTCAATCTGTCACTTATTGTAGCAGAGGTTTCCTTCTAGAGACAACATCAGAATTCTATTTATGCTCTATTTTCTAGCATCTCAATTAGGTCTCACTTAGTGGGGGTGGCCCAGTTTTAACTTGTTTATGCTTGTCACTTCTCACATACAGCATATTGTCAATGGAGAACCTCCAGTACAGGTTCCACTTGCCCATATTTGCACACTAAACTGTTCAAGGTCATAGAAATGATATATGTGATTTTTTAGGGTGGATTTTGTCTGGTTCTGGCCTTTCCCTATAGCGTCATAGACGGTGCTGCCAGGAAACGGGGCAATCCACCTCAGTATGCCTGGAATGTCTGCACAGGTGCCTCGGGAATCGGTAGAAAAACACTCAGGATTGAACCCCTTCACCGTAACTAATGTTTCAGTATTTCAAGTTGAGTCAGAGAGAACGACTGAAGGGGCCATTAGTGTTAAATGAGAGTGCTGATGGGTGGAGAATGACTTGTGAAGGAGGCAAGAGAAGAATTCAGATGATGACAGCATAAGGAGCTGGTTTCAGTTGTGTGGGGGAGAGAAATTAAACTCCCTACACCGAATATTTTTTCAGACTCATCAGACTCAACCCAGCTGTTATTGAATGTGAGCGTGCAATTTTGCACAAGTATGTGAGCAACCTTCCACCAACACCTCCCCCACATGCAGGATGTTTCAGAAGACGTACAGGCTTGTTTGTTCTTTGATTGCATAAGTTTTTACCATACTGACTGAACATTTTGAAATTTCCAGAACTACAACAGATGTCCTTGTGCAATACAGTTTACGTGCCACTACTTAAGTACTTTTGTACATCATTTGTGTATTGAATGGGAATGTTAAGTGACTCAGGTGTGTGCATTCAGAATGTAGTTAATAAGACATGATCTACCAATGGATGTAATGCACACTCACTCCTAAACTGAAAGGCACCCACTTAGCTATGTAAATTAAGTCCCCTGAGACTGAGATAACTCATAGTGTGCTTTCTTTGTGTTATAGTGCTGGTCAGAAAGAGACTTGAGCCAGGTTAAAGGGCAAAAGATGAACAAAATGGAGAATGGCTTAGAGGGTATGTCCCAGCCTGTGCTGAGTGATTTAATAATAAGCATCTTTAATCTGTAGATAGCTATTGTCTCCTATCCTACTGTATGTCCATTCTATCAATTGATCTGTCTTTGCGTGAACAGTGTGTGCCCTGAAGTATGAGTTGCTGTCATGTCAGGATGTATAGTTTTGTGTGTGTCCTACCTTCTACTGGGAAGAATACGTCCCCATGTGCAGGAGGAGAAAGGGGGGTTCCTGGCTCAGACAACAAGTGACGCCCTGTCTCTGAGGATTGCCTGGTCATGATCTGAGACACGGTGCGGGTCTTAATCTGTGGTGATCCCCCAAGAAACACGGGGTTTTCATGGCCATGAGGCTCACTGAACACACACACACACAGATAGACACATACACAAAAAAGAGAAGAATCCAGATGAGTAAGATGTTGCTGATATGACCCAACAAACTTCATGTGTTGCTCAAGACATTTAGATGCTTTACGTCTGTCACTTTTGTATTCAACAAATATTCAGTATATTGTGTAAAGGCAAGTAAAGACCACCAGTGTTCTGGGCATAAGTCCTTTTTGTTGTACAGTAATTCAGGTTATGTGTCCAAATTAATGTAGTAGTCCTTTATTGATGTTTTAAAGCTATATGTAGATCATTAGTAAACAAAAGTTGATAAGAATCATCAGCAGAGCTGTAACACGTTTTGGCCTAATCAGGTTGTTTTGCTGAAAAGAGCCTATTGTATAAGACATATTGTCGCCTCTACACTGTAGAATATCCATGTACACAGAATTATTATTCAAAAGAGCAGCTGTGTTTTGAAGCTGCTCTATGTAGTCAGCTGCCTGACAGACTGTGGGAAAACGTACCTGTCCATCCTCACCAGCTCTTGTGCACCTGGGAAAGAGGAAATGGGAAATGGGCCATTGTGAATGAATTGAAACAGTGGAACACCACAGATAGAGTGTGAATGTGCTTCCTACTGTGTGAAATACAGTTAATTCACCTCACTGACAGGAAATGTGTGTCAGACAAAACACTATGAGAAACTCAGTGTGAGAGATTTATATTTGACCCATAGTTTGGACATGGAAATTAATGTGTGTGCTTGTTTGTGCATATCAGTTATACATACGTCTGCTCGACTGGGCGTTCTCCCTCTGTTTGTACACAAGCACCAGGATAAGAGGCAGAGAAAGCAGAGCCAAGATGCAGGCTGCTACGGCCAAGGCCACTGGCACAGAGCCTGGGGAAGCAACAAGAGAGACTGAGTTAAATAAATGGAATAAATGGCCAGTCATCCATTGGCTATGAAGGCTTGAATAAGGTGACATACCTCCAGGTGGCGTGGGATCCCAGATAGTGCACTCTTGAGATCCATTTCTCGCTGAAAAAAAAATAGAAATACAGTTTTTCCTCACATACAGTGTATCACAATGTAGTATCTGTTTAGGTTTCTGTCTGGTTAATGCAACAGTTGTCATCCACCTGAGCATATAATATTTATGCACAAAGCCATAGACCACAAAGAGCACTCATAGACTAAATTACTTAGAATTTAGGAAACCAACATGATGATCTTGTCCTACTTAACAACTTTGCAAAAGACACTATGATTGATATAAGTTAACATCTTCCCCCGCCAGTTAACCCATCACACCCATATATTTGATGTCCTTACGTGGTGTAACTTGGAGAACAATGTGGCTGTGGGGTTTCTGCAGCAAGGTGCCGTGTTTATGATCCACCTGGATATCTTGGATCATACAGCAGTAGCGACCCTGGTCAGCGTAGGTCACATTCTGCAGAACCACCCAGAAGTCCTGCTCTGCAAATCCAAATTGCAACCCTGGCAAGCTGTGGCTGCCTTGGGAATGACCATTAGTATGACGTGGGCCCATCCGTGCCATACAGTGCTGGTCACTGTGGGGCGTGAAAAGCCAGACACGCCTCAATAAATCCGTGTTGTGCAAGGCGGTACCTCTGTGATTACACACCAGTTTGACAGTGGTACCCTCTGGACAGGTATAGTACAGGTGGGGGGCTGAAACACCCAGTGTGGAGTGAGTGTGGGACATCTCGCCTTTAGCTAGAGAGAAAAGACAAGTATGGAAGAATGTGGGTAACACATAAAACAGTTTTATCAACTTTAGAAAATTAGTAAACACACACCTATTTTTTTTATCAACTTTAGTAAACCTGATATTCTAAAGTCTGAAATCTGATATACTAAAGTTTATAAAGATTCTGTGTTATGGTTGTGGTTAGGGTTTGCCTTTCCAGGGTTTGTATGCCTGAGCAGAGTTTTTTATATAACAGGTGACAATGAAAACCAAAGGAAAGAGGAAGATCTTTAGAAGAAAAAAAAATCACATGTGAACTTTGATGGCAATGACAGCTAACAATCATATTTAGCAACTGCAACAAAACAAAGTTAAAAGAGTGAAATATAGAAGCCAATATTTAAATAATAATATAGATTATTTATGCTAATGAAGGTACATAATGATATTCCTTGCAAAATAATAGGTGTCTTTTATTTGTTTGGGTATTTACGAGAGTAAAGTTTCATAAGGGTATAACCCTAATATCAAAAGATAATATATTCAAGCAGGAAATTGCATGGTAAATCACAGTTCTATTTAAATTATTTGTTATCTTAAGTTAAATGGGATGCGGTTTCTGCCTGGTACCAACAGTCCCAAAACAAATAACCACAGTGCAAAAAACTAATTATAGCTACCAATCTCAATATGGATTTAAAGCTGAAGTCCAACTATTTGCCATGCCCTATTTCTGCACGCTACATGCTTCCTGGTTTTTGTGCATTTTTGGCTACCACTGTTTTTTTCTTGTTCTGCATATTTGTGTACTGTGGTTAGAGATAGTACATAGTCTGCTGTGGGAGTCAAATTGCCTGTTCCTCTCAGACAGCTACAGAGAGAGGGATACTAGCCAATATATACAAGACCTCATGTGACATCTCTTAAACTAGGGAAAGTGTAGAAATCTCACTTCTCTTCTGTTTAATTTCTGCATTATACACTGATTAGTGCTGTAAAATAGCCCTTTCTTTCTCAGTATAGTGTGCACTAACACCTATCTGAGCACATACCTTTTATGTACATTCAGGAAACCAAAAAGACAGCTGTGAGACGTTTCTTTACATATTGCATAAAGCGTTCTCCTTCTTGCATGCTGCCTTCAACCACATCCTGTTCTGACTTCTGTAGTGCAGGAGTGGAAAGCACGAAAAGACAAACTCTTTAATGTGCGCTCTGAATTATTATTTCATTGCAAAAACACAACAAAATAAACATATCCCCAGGCTAAGCAATGTAATGCCACTCTCTTAACCTTGCTATACATTACCACCCCCAATACAATGCCCCCACATGCCATAGTTCACACATAATGAGTGACTCCCATACAGTATATCTAGCATGTACTCTCAACTCTGTCACTCTCTAGCAGATCATAACCACCATTTGTCTGTAACTGTGGTGGTTTGTCTGTGCTTGGTTTAGCAACCAAGAATGCTGCAAAGAAGACAGGAAGGTGCATGTGATTTACACCTATGTGTGGGGGTGGACTGCACTGAAAGAGCATGCAAAGTGTGTATTGTTGCAGAGGGTCCATGGAACACATATCACCAGTCAACCTCCAAACACACACTGGTCGGTGCCAGGATTTGAGGAGTGGACTTCCTTCCTGAGTGGTCCAGGCACGCGAACACTGCACCCACTCCTCCCACTCCCTCCCCCTGTCTGGCTCCTTAATGCTTTAAATGATTTTGAAGGGCTACAGCTGCTGCACGGCTCTTTTGAGTTAAAATTTTCAAGCAGGTTGCACCTCTGTCCACGCCCCGATCAGTAATAATGTCGCTGCAGGTGTTCTCCATCTGCCGTCAAAGGCAAAACACATGCTGTTACTTCACAAATTAGAATGCAACATGCTTGAAAGTTTAAACCCATAGAGAGCAGTGGAACAGCAGCTTTGCACGATTCATTGTGGATTTAACCATGAACTAACTATTGGCTGTCTTTATCTACTACCACTACTTTACTGAGGGGGCAACACATGCAACAGTCAGGCAGAGCGTAAATGAGGAAGCACATAAATTATTTTAGTATAGTCAGAAGCGGTGTTAAGTGGTTGGTTTACCCCTCTGCTGTACGGGAAATACAGTAGCTGACCAGCCAACAACCTTTGCTGTTTGATTAGCTGTGCATGTTTGTATATTCAGAATGTGTGCATCCTGTGTAAGTGTCATAGAGTACAAGGTATGTGCCATGTTCCTGTGTGTGCGACTGAACTCCACACTAGCCATTGTGTGGTAGGAAAAGCAATAGGAAGAGCAGGGAGGGTGATTAAAGCGAAACTGTTGCCCCCACGGCTGTTCCTGCCTGCATGGTGGGACAATGGGAGGGGAAGCCCTTCTCCTCTCCTATTTCACACCCGCCCTGCCTTCCTCCCTGCCCTTCTTTTTGACAACCCCATTTGCACTAGTGGAGATGGATTTCTGGCAATGGAGTGGCAGTTTCTTTTGTAAAATGTACATGTAAGTCCAACATTTGCCTGATTGAGAGGCAGAACATGATTATTACAAGGTTACAAGCTGGGAAAATTATTCACATCAAACATTTGAGGTATGGCTTACAGACAAGACCAGACCTTTGTAAAATAGTTTCAGAGACAATGAATATGATATTTAAAGCATATTAGGTGCCAACTGGGTGGTGTTACCACAGTGTCAGCACTATCTGAGCTGTCTTGATGTGGTTGCAACCAGGTAAAAACAGACGGCAAGCTTTGCTCCGTTTGGTACAGACAGGATTTCTGTCACTTGTATACACCAGACATCTGTGTTTTGGCTCCACTATAGATCTAAGTTTCCTTCTCTGATCTCTGTTCTCAGAATCCTGATAGCCCCTCAGGGCCCAGAAACAGGCACTCTTTTGTTTTAAGCCTGAATGCCACCTGTTTAGGACATGTTGCCTCTGACAGCTTTCTTACATTCAGACAGCACAGCCCATGTGAATTAATTAAACATGTCTTCATATGTGCTTAAATTACCCCAAGTTAAACTATTTGAACTGCTACTGCGAGAGTATATTTTATTACTCTGCTGTACTGAAGAGGTGCTATAATACTAAACAGGCTCCTGAACATACCCTACTGGTAAATCTGGTATCCTTTTACTGTCATGAGTTGTCTACCTGTGTTTGTACAAAGGCTGCTCCCCCATACACACACACATCAAACTCCACCTTTTTTAACACCTACTGTAATGGTAATGATTATCCATCCCATTACAGGGTGTTAATGAAACCAACAGGAGGATCCCAGATTAGCCCCTCCACACACACACACAGGCACACGGAAAGTTTCAGCTGAAGCTCCTAGCATAACAAACAGATGAATTAAGCTTCTTTTCAGCAATAGGAAGTGTATAAATGTGACTCTACCTATGTAAAAGGAAGTGGTTATGGGTCAGTGATGTAGGTCGTCATGTTCAGGGATCCATGACATTTAATTATAGTCATCTGCTGTGTCTTTAGGTACTTTGTCATCAACTTGTTTGTTCAAGTGTAATTTGAATAAAATGTACAGCAGTCAGTCACATTCCTAATCTTCCTCTTTTTCTTCCCCTAAATGTACTTCACACACTTTTAGTAAAGTGTTGTGTAAAGACAGTTTCGTTAACATATTTACAACATTATTACAACATCCTTTCTTCATTTACCTACATCTGAAATGTAATTTTGAAAGGTGAAATGGGCATTTCTGTACTTTTGAAACATTAAACGTGCCTGGTTACATAATTTGAACAAGATTTGCAACTATTAGTTTGCCTGCTTCCTCTCTCTTTTCGGGTCCTTTCATGCTTTCACCTTTACAGTGATTTTTATAGTGTGTTTAAATTGTTCTACTGTTTCTATTATAGTTAAGATAGTTTAGCTCTTAACTGGCCAAAGCACATTAGGTTGCTGTTTTTGCTGATGTGACTAGAAGGGAAGTCAAGGCTCTATCAGTGACGGTCAATGCTGTATCCTTGGACTGTTCAGAAAATCACCCGTGTGGGAGACATGTCTTTACTAGAAACATGAAAGCAACTGGTGTTTGGGAATTTTTTTTATTTGTCATACTTGCTGCATATTAAGCATCAGATACCACAATTTCAGCTACATATGTTTAACCTTTGTGATACCCACAAAATCAAAGAAGAATACGGGAGCTCCCCCTCCTCCATTGTCTTCTTATTAATCATGCACATGCAGCATGTACCCACACATCTGCTGACTGTCTCTCTCTGGTTAGGCCTGTTCTTGTTGATGAAATCGACCGAGGAAACCATTTCTGTGTCGCTGCACCCTAATAATGATTTATTAATTTAGGACAGGGGATCAATGCATGACACAGCTCTGTCACAGGAGGAGAAAGTAGTGGGGACATAAAGAGACTAATCACATCCTGTGGAGTTTATTGACCATTTCTGACTGTGCCATTGTCCTATAGGGGGCTGAATGCTTATCTAGACTGAGAGGAAAAGAGCCACTGATTGTTGCTGTTTATCTCAAGTCATGTTTTGTGGAGGAGAAACCCATTATTGGCAGTGGCACAAACAGCTGTTTTCATCATGGGCTGAGAGGAAGGAAACTTCCAAACAAAGAAGACACAACAGGGCTGAAGGGAGGGCACTGTGGAGTCTTAAAGTTAAACTTAAGCAGAGTAGGTCTTTTATTGGAGCCTCTTGGGTTTTATAGGCATGAATGAATGAGTTAAAAAACAGGCTACTTTAGTTTGAATGGATATCTTATCTACAAATTTTAAAAAGTAAGCCTTTTTTGAACAATATACAAAGATGTTTTTGTCAGGGTCGATCAGCCTAAAGGTTCACAAACACCACTAGCTGCCTTTGACGGACTTATCCTGTGGCCTGGGATAAATCGGATAAATCCGAAAACTGATAACCTCTGGTTTCAGTGGCGTTTGAAGTGAAGCAGCCTGCGCCCAAGTAAACAGCTGCGTGTCCTGTTTCCTCCAGGTAGCCCAAACTCCAAGCAAAACCAAAAATCCTGCATTGCATTACAGATCCCATGAATACACACGGAATTTCTGTGAACATGTAATATTAACTTTTTTCAGTCGGGGGTTATAGCCTATCACTGGATGCCTAGGACACCAAACTCATCCTGCACAGGCGCACAGAGCGCACGGATTGTTTTCCCAATGTCGTTTTCTGTATGTTCTCCAGGTTGTGTACATTTCTGGATATTTTAAGACTCGTCAGTCTAAAAACGTCAACGGCCACTGTTTAATTTGCGGTTATGTTATAGAGGGTGAGTGTACAGCAGATTTACACTCCACTACATCCCATGGGAGGGGCTTTAAAACAGCTTCACACCAGATGTTCTGTCTCAAAACGACAGCAGCAACAAACTAAGTCTGAAAGGCTTTAAACTACAAAAAAACAACAACAAAAAACAGATTACCCAGAAGACAACATGCATTTAAAATAAAATAACTTCCATATCTGCAATTTGTTTTTACAAAGATGTGCGTCAAGGTCGGGAACCGCCTACACGCATTTTCTGTTATTAAAAAGATAAAATCTCCACAGCTTGACAGCAAAAGCCTTGTGAGTCTGGAAAAAGAAAAGTTTCTGTGCTGTAAAACAGAGTGAATTTACAGGCTATATTAGGCCTGTCCTATAAACTTTTGAACCCCCCCTATGTAACGTTACTCTTCAGATAGCCTACATTAAGTTCCTGTTGAAAAGGTCAATTGATGGCATGGGTGCGTTAAACAGTCAGACTAACAACCGGATTTAAGCTGTCACTTTGCGTGTGTCAAACTGACTTGAGTTGAAAGACTATTGTACTGATGTAATTCAGTCGATGGGTTTGTCACTAAAAGAAAACTGTCAACAAGTTCACACACGCCCGGAGACTTGGATGAGCCAGTTAAACAACAGGATGGATATCAGTAGGGTTTTTTTTTTTCGTGCTTACCTGCATCAATGCAAACCAGAAGAGAGCATAACCAAAGCAAGAGCTTCTTCCCCCAAAGTGATGTCCGACAGGGTAATCCCCGCTCCATGGTTGTCTGGATGTTGACTGCAGAACAGTGTGACTCAGACTGAAGTGAACTAACTCTACAGATAGCCTGTGTTAAACTTTTTTCTCCCCTCAATCTTAAATTGAACAAATTCTTTCAGCTTTATACCGAAACGCAGTGAGTTGGTTGACAGTTCCCCGTCAGTTTGCCTCCAAGATGATTTGATCTTTCTGAACTTTGTAGGGCAACCACAGCGTGATACATGCAGGCGAGGCTCCTCCCCTTACTGTCAGTCTCTCTCCTGCCTCTCTCTCTCCCTTACTCTCTGTGCCACACCCCCATACTAGTACACATAAAAACTTCTTCCACAAAGATGGAGTACATGCCAGATACATTTTACAAGGATGGATGGTCAAATTTGATTTAGCAAAGATAAAGATATTCGGTTAATGATTATAATTTTTCAAACACAAGCTGAGAAAGCCTTGAACCATAAAAGAGATTATAAAGGTGGTTTTACAGGCTGAGTAATACTACACAGGAATATGGAAGCACATAAGGTTAATTTTTTACTGGTGAAATGACGTTCAGAAATGATTTCACAACCTGCAGCTATGTATCATCTTTGGTTATGCACGCACATATCTGAATGTGTGAATTGGTAAAAAAAATAAAAAATAAAAAAAGAAATTCAAGTTTGTGAATGAGTAATAGAGCTTTGTAGCTTATTTTGTGCATGTGTAATGAAAAATTGTGCTGTGTCTGACAGAAGGGCACACACATTTTCAGTCAGCGTATGCAATACTGAAGTTGCAAGCACAAAGTTGGACCGTGTTCTTACGCTTGAGCTGACTAGCCGATCAACATCTACGGCGGCACCAACCAGGACTCTGATTCACAACAAAGACACAGAAGGTTCAGGCTAGGACAGGAGAGGCATGAAGCTGGAGAGGAATGAGAGGAAGGTCAGGCATCAGTCAGCACCCACCAGGCCTGAATGGAGCCAAACCCAGCAAGAAAACCACCTTGGTTCTGTTTTCCCTGTCGACAAACTGACCTCTGTCGGTCTCGGAGGCTGTGTTTGGTTCTGGTTTGGCCATGTTCACTGAAAACCTCCTCCACCCAGCGATCCAAAGTTTCTGTGCTAGAAGTGTCAACAGCAACACTCCCCTTCCGCTCCGAGCTCCCAGTCCGGGCAGTGTCCGCTAATAGGACCGCTAGCTGCGTGGCGAATTGAGCTAACCAGCTTACAGCAGCTACAGTTAGCAGAAGTTAGCGACTCTGGCAACAAGTAACGCTATCTGTCCATCAGGAAACTCTGTAAATCATTGAGAGTTAAGACAGAGCAGCCAGAGGACACCACAAAACCCAACACAAATTGTCCATGTCCATTAGGCTACATATGATCCAGTTTCACCAGAATCTGTGAATAAAGTTGTTATTGCATAGTAATCAGTGAGGCCTGGTCCCCAGAAACACAAAATGGTATACGCAACTAGAAAGCACTACAACCTTTTAACCCTCGATTGGACAGTTTGACTTTCTGTGATCGGATGGTGAGTGGGCAACGTACTGATTGTCTAGTCAGCTCGAGCGTAAAAACAAGGTCAAAATGGATGCTTGTCAGAATATTCCTGTACACATTATGACACATTCATGAACTTGAATTTGTGAGAAAATGTTTGTTGGTTTGTTTTTTTCCAAATTTGCACATTATGATACGTTCATTTCCTTCCACACATGAGCAGTGCACTTTATTATGTGTTTTGGATAGTATAGCCTAATATATGGCTGCATGGTTACACATTATTCACATAACAATGAAAAATGAAAGTTTCTGTGATGTTTGGATAACCTGTTGTGTCTTTATCTGTAATTGTTTGTCATCTTTTGCTCTGAAACATACACACTCACACACAATCACACATCACAATATTGTGTAACTGATAGGCTACAGCCTGAGGGTGCAAGTTGGTTGGTCCACCTTTATAGTCGCACTGGGAGGGGAACTGGGAGGGAAACTACAAGGTCAGACTGGTGGAGCAGGAATTAGCTAAAAACAACCTTTATTCCACATAGTGATACTTTTACTTTGCACTAGAACGTTTCAGTTTGAGTAGTAGTTTCTTTCAGGATGCACTACTTATCTACACTTCTCCTTTCCCTTCAGAGTGTGTAGATGACACAATAAGGAATCAGAACATTTGTCTTCTCTTTGCCTCACTTACCCTTTCAGATTTCCTTTTGGTTCTCACAGGATATTCTTTCTTTCTGTCTGTAACAAAATACGCTCAAGTCTACTGTTCAATTCTCCCATGTTAAATGAATCCTGAATATCACATAAGCAAAACCGCCAAACCATGTTTCCTCTCTTTCAGAAAAACTATATTAGTCACACTGGAAGTGAACAATATGTAAGGTGTAGGAGTGGATCCAACATGAAGTGAAAAAACACAAGGCCTTTAGAGAAATTACTGATGATTGACAAGATATTATTGTTTAGTCGTTATTATAAAAGAACAAACAGTGATTTCCAGATTAACTTGCTGTTTTGTAGATTTTTTAGTCCTCATTTGTGATATTTGCTCCTTTTATATGATGATACATCACCGTAGAATCTTTCAACATTATAATTCAATTCAATTTGATTCAATTTTATTTGTAATTCATAACAGAAGTTATCTCAGGACACTTTTCAAATAGAGCAGGTCTAGTCCGAACTCCTTTTAACAATTACAGAGACCCAACAGTACCAGCATGAGCAAGCACTTGGCGACGGGGGCAAGGAAAAACTGCCTGTTTAAAAGGCAGAAACCTAGGACAGCCCTTCGGCTCTAGGGTGGGTGATCATCTGCCTTGATAGTGATGAATGGACTACAAGATCAAATTTAGACTAACTTGCAGGCCTAGCTGACACCGTATGCTGGAAGGGAATCACATATTGCCAGTAGAATTGAATACAGTACGCCAAAAATAGAAGTATAATAGCTATAAAAGTTTTACCATGTCTGTCTGTTTCTCACACAGACCTCAACCACTATCTATGTTCACATTGTGGATGAGAACGATAACGCCCCTGAGTTTCCTGAGGAGGAGTATGTCACAGTGTTGAGCGAGGGCCCAGACACAGTGGGTGCCACCATCGCCACGGTAACAGCCATCGACCCCGATGAGGGTCTGAACGGCACCTTGCGATATGCTATTGCTCGTGGCAACCTGATTCAGACCTTTAATATTAACAGCATCACGGTAAGACGTGTTAATTGTTGTTCTGTAGTGATACAAGCAACTGCAAAAAACTCCATACATTAACCTTCTGTGTGTGATGTGTATGTGTGTGTATTTAGGGGAGGATTACAGCTGTGAAGGAGCTGGACTTCGAGATCAGCAACGGACACTATGCACTGGTTGTTACAGCAACGGATCAGTGTCCAATACCTGCTCTCCGCTTGACATCCAGCACAACAGTAATTATGCAAATGAGACACACTCTATATACCTTATTATACCTTTTTTTATGTAAATAATATTTAAGATTTTAGAGCTGAAACGATTAGTCGATAAACTGAGTAGTAGATTAACTCAATCATTCAGGTAATTTAAGAAGCTAAACAGTTGCTGGTTCAAGCTCCTCCAATGTGAGGATTTGATGGTTTTTGACTTTTGCTGTTTTTAAACTAAGCAATTCTTTGAGTTACCAAAAAAATATTTTTTCATGAAAATGACAAATATCGTAATATTTAATTTTAAAAAAGAAATCCCTGAAATTTTGGGACTTGAGAAACAAAATAAGAAAAAATTGCACAATTGATGGATGGCCGTGATAGCTTTCTATTTTTAGAAAACAGTCAGCAAAATCCAGATTAAAATAATACCCAAAACACCCAAATCCATTCTTTATACATTCTTTTCATTGTTGTGAACTAGTTTTCAGTGTTCATCCTATTTCTGCCACACATACTGTACATGTCACAATCAGTCACTTCTCTCATCCCTCTCTCTCCTTCCTCAGGTGCTGGTAAATGTCCTAGATGTGAACGATGTGACGCCCAGTTTCCCCAGAGCCTATGAAGGACCCTTCGAGGTGACTGAGGGCCAGCCAGGACCTCGAGTCTGGACTCTAAAAGCCAACGATGAAGACTCTGGGCTTAACGGCAAAGTGGAGTACAGCATCACTGGAGGAGATCACCAAAGTTAGTACTGGATTGTTCTGTCGAGAGAGTGATATTTAATTCCTTGCTATGTGTCTATGAGCCTCTTTCTTCATCTCTGTCTCTCTCAGATGAGTTCATGGTTTCTCCAGTGGAGGGAGAGCTTCGGGTGAGGAAGGATGTTGAGCTGGACAGAGAGACAACAGCGTTCTATAACATCACTGTGACAGCACGAGACCTGGGAACCCCTTCTCGCAACAGCTCGGTGGGCCTTTATTACACAAACACACGCAAGTGGGAACACAGTCTTACCATATCCTCTTGAACAATCAGGATCACGCAAGTTTCACTTCTGTGCTTGCTCTGAACACTTTGAACACTAACATTTCCAACAAATGAATAGGTGGTTTGTGAGGTTTGTACATGACGTATATATACGTATATACTCACAAACTATACTACTCTACCAAATCCATCATCATGCCAGTTAAACATGCAATACATCTCAAAAAGTAGATTTGGCCAATAGATGATGTGGCAATTTTAAATTTAAAATAAAAAGAAAATTAGGACTGGTCATGATTTTATGGTTATGTTGTTAAAAACTTCCAACATGCTCTGACTGACAATTGTGATGTCTTTTTGACGTTAATGGTGGAAAGTTTTGCCTTTGTCTGGATGCCTTTTCTGCAGGTGGTGGTGGGGGTCCTCGTCAGAGACATCAATGACAACGACCCAGTCCTCCTGAACCTGCCTTACAACACCAGTGTGAGCGAAGGTGCCTCCATACACACCTCTGTGGCCAGAGTCCAAGCACAAGATGCAGACAGCGGACCCAACGCGCTCCTTACTTACAACATCACTGCTGGGAACCAGGATGGAGCCTTCTACATCAATGACACGGTGAGATAAAGGCATGGTGTGAAGTAACTTAACACTTTTCACCGCCTGCATGACACTGTGGGGTCCCTGTGCAGCTCCTACAGCAACAGACTGCTGCACCCTCAGTGCAAGAAGGAGTGCTAACGCAGGTCATTCATTCCATCATCTATCAGACTTTATAACTCAGCAACAATACCAGAGTCATTTTTTATACTATA